TTTTTTTTTTGGTCCCCCAAAAAATCGCAACGACTCAACCGATCGCTGAATAAGCGGGGGGGGGGGGGTATGAGGACACTTTTTTTTTTTTTTGTCTCGAAATTTGAAAATTTGACATTTTGCTCCGTTGGGGGGGGGGGGGTAAGGTCACCTTTCTTAGGTCAGTCATGGAGGTAATTTTTTTTTTTTTTTTTTTTTTTTTTTAATAATTAAAAAAAAATTAAAAAAAATAAATCTCAAAAGGGGGGGGGGGGGTTTTAGGTTTTTTTTAGGGGGGTTTACACACATAAAAATACCAAAGGGGGGGGGGGTTAACCCCCCCCACCCCCCCCCCCCCCCCCCTGCGTACGCGCCTGCATACCGCTACTAACGGCGCAGTAGGCCTATAACCACTGCTGACGGCGGCACTGCACTGCGAGCTGAATCGGTAATAATAGGCCTATACTCATAAAACGAGAAATCTTGCACGCTAATCTAAGTTCCATTCATTGGTTTAAGGTTTGAAAATTGAAACTCAATATTGTGTTAAAGTTATAACAGAAAAGATAATCTTTATTTTAAATTCCACGGGGGCGATTTTTAATTTTGCAATCGCCCCCGTGAGCAACCTGACGGGGGCGATTATGTAGCTCACGGGGGCGAATCGCCCACCGCCTCTGTGTATTTTGAGCGCTGCTTATATGCTAGATGGTCAACCTTTTCTGATCAATTCCACAACGTTTCTTTCACTAGAACTGGTCTATACCTTTAACAATCATCTCCTAACGCACACAGGAGAAAAGCCACATGAATGTTCACACTGCAAGAAAGGGTTTTCTCTGAAAAGTACTCTAAACAATCATCTCACTACACAAACTGGAAAAAAGCCATATAAATGTTGCTCTTGTAAGAAAGGATTTTCTCAGAAAAGTATACTCAATCGTCATAGACTTACACATACACACACAGGAGAAAAGCCATATAAATGTTTCTATAGTTAGAAAGGATTTTTTTTATAGAAAAGTGTACTCATTTGTAGTAAACTCACACACAAAAATGAAAGGCCATATAAATGTTGCTATTGTAAGAAACGACTTTCTCAGAAAATTATACTCAATCGTCACAGACTTACACATATACACACACAGGAGAAAAGCCATATAAATGTTTCTATTGTTAGAAAGGATTTTTTTTTTTATAGAAAAGTGTACTCAGTTGTAGTATAAAACTCAAACACACAAATGAAAAGCCATATATATTTTGCTATTGTAAGAAACGATTTTCTGAGAAAATTATACTCAAACGTCATTAACTAACACATACAGGACCAAAGCCATATGAATGTTCACACTGTAAGAACAATTTTTTCTGACAAATAAAACTTACTTAACACCTACGAACACACACAGGAGAAAAGCCGTGGAAATGTTGCTATTGTGAGAAAGTATTTCTCAGAAAAGTGCATACGATATATGTGGTACAATCCGATAATGGAAATTGTAATATGCGTAAAGAAAACGTCTAAGAAATAATCCATGTCCTTGGGTGACAGGAGACGTCATTGAATTGATGAACACGAGGGATTACCTTCGTGATAAAGCAATACAGTTCTCGTCATCAGATTTTTGGGAACAATATAAAAAATGCAGAAATCTTATCACACGTGAACTTAAAAATCGTTAACAATCATACATTACTTCATTATTGAGCGACAAGTCAGGAAACGCATGTGCGTTTTGATATTTTTATGCGACGTCTTACTAAGAAAAGTCAGTCTAAAAATATAATATTTAATAAAAACGATGTTGAAATATCAGACTTGAATATTTTAATACGTATTTTGTTGACTCCGTTTCTGAACTCACCAAAGCTTTTGAGCTCGAGACCGAAACTATCAACAGATGTGAATCACTGAAAGAAAATCTGAAAAAAGTAACTGGATATGATGAACTCTTTGTTAAAATACTAAAATATTTCTGTGATATTCCTCATGTAATGGAAAGTTTAGTATACGGTATATTACCCGAACACATTTGATTTATATAAAATAAGAAACCATTTAAACGAGAAATGTCAAAATGGCGAAAAGACATTGTAATAAGATGATAGAGCAATACAACTTTTCTTTCTCTCCTCTTTGTATATATTTTATTATATCTTCTTCTCGTTTTCTCTTGTTTTTTTTTTTATTGTGGTTGTTGCTGTTTTTTTTCTTCTGTTTGCTTCAATTTGGATATATGGCATTTACATATTTGTATCATATACATATCACTTATTTAGTTATTATTCATGTTCAAATCCTTATTTATAACCTGGTTTGCAATTTTTTGTTTGTTCAAGTCATATTTTGTAATTTTCTATATTTATTTATATGTTGATGTGTTGAAATGTATATACTTGTTTGTGTCATGAAGGGCCTCAACGAAAACCAGTATTTATTTGCTGATTGGGCTACCCTTCTTTTTAAAGGTGTGTAATAAATATAAATGAATAAATCAATGAATAAATCTACTAACACATGGAAGAAAAGCCATAATAATATTGCTATTGTGAGAATATATTATGTTAGAAAAATGTTCTGTACTGTCGTTTAACACATGCAGGAGAAAATGTTCACATTTAGTAAATGGTTCTCTCAGAAAAGCGTTGTCAAACATTTCGAAACACATACAGATGAAAAGCCATTCCTTTGTTTCCTCTGTAAGAAAGGATTTTCAAGGGAACATTATTACTGTTCATATTGAAAAAGCAGACGGGAGAAATACATGAGAATTATCGCATTGTTAGAAAGAATTTTCTTTTAACCACCCTCACATTTCATAGCGAAACCACGTCATCGACAAAAGTCTTCTGAATGAGATTTTAATCACAATTAATCTCGACAATTGGTGTTTAGAAAATTGTTGATAAAAATGTTATGAGTTATGTAAATATTTATTTTTTGAATTGAAAATAATGATATGACTCGTTTATTTAATAATATTAATCATAATGGTTTAATTATTCAAAAATGTGCAATTCACCACGGGGGCTGAATCACAAAAAAAAATTACATTATAAAAAGAAAACAATATTACATAAACATGATAAAAACGTATGTTTTTTTAAAGGAAAGATAACTCAACTGTATCATAACATAATTAAAATCATTGTCTCGTCAAAACATTACTCTGTTTAAGCAGTGTTTGGTCTAGATAGCATCCAAATGTTGTATACGAAAGAATTATCAAATTTCGTATCAACACAAATAATGATTATAATGACTGTTTTATACAAGCAAAATAAGAAATGGAATACATTTATTTATTTATTTGTTATATTTAAACAGGGTAACTCTCTCAGTATTAATACTTTTTTTTAGAGGACCTGTACACAAAAAAGGATAACAAATACAGGAAATAAAAAACATAGTTAAATGAAACATGATTATATCTGTATCAGGGCTATTTGTGTGTTTTGTTTGTAGTTATTATATAACTCCATAATATACAATAAATATATGACAAAACTATATTTGTCCAGCTAATACAATATGAATAAATACTTATCTTATCAAATAGATCAATAATAATATAAACATATACACATCTGGAATAAAGTTTCGATTTGTATATGACATAGAAAATAACTCAGACTCTATCATTTTACATAAAAAGAATGAATACATTTGATTAAGGAAGCAATTGGCAGTACAAAATGCAATCTAATTAATTGTTCATATCATGTACAATAAAAGTTTCAACCACGCCTACGATAAATTAAACAGTAACATTTGCATTGTGCTTTGAACATTTTAAGCTTCAACATACAACCGGATCAAACAAAACCGTATAAAAAAAATCAAGAAATGTCTGAAATTGGCATTTTGCACAGCACTTTTCTCATCATTTGATAATTAATCAAGAGCCAAAACGATGGAATACGCAAAGAAATCAAAACATAGATTTTTACAGTTTTAGTACATGTTTATCTTCGTCATAACACCCGACAATTTTTGTTTTAATTCTCCAAAAAGAAGAAAAGGGCAAAAGACCTGAACATTAAAACCTTAATTTTGATACTAATACAGTATCAGCATAAAAAAATACATGCATACACACACAATACCCTTCATACACACGAGACCCTACATACACACCCACGCACCCTTTAGTACATACATACATATATAAACTATTTATATATGAGTAGAGGGCGGGGCAGAATGGGCAGGAAGTCACACGAACTTAACAAGTTTTTACAGACTTTTTCTTAAAATGTGTATAGAATTCTGATTTCTAAATCTGCTGAACAAAAAGTATCTTCGTCCCATCAGTATGTAGGCTTTCTCATGGTTTGTTGACAACTTCGAGTTTCGGGTTTTTCAACATGAGGGTATTTTCTACGATCCGACCTCATTTTCCTCTTTGTAAATGTAGAGGACTTTGATACCGAGGAAATTGTATAAGTATTGATCTATGCTGTATAGCCATTACGGGGGAGAATTTTGAGACCGTATAAATAACCCTTGCCTCCGGGTTAAATATTTGCTCTTTGTAATTAAATAAATCATTTGTACTTACAATATCATGACCGAAGTAATCTTTGATGGGGAACAAAATCACGACAAAACAACCTTTATAACAGATTCCGAATGATTGAGATTTTTAAATAATATTCTTTATCCATATTTCATAATTGAAGGGTAAATATCTTTACAGAAATACCTGATCAGGCATTTCTCCTGCGAATTCAAGCATTACTTATACTCTGTGGTATTTATAAAGTTTGTTAGTACAAATTCGTTGTTGTTATGATCTCTAATCTACACCCACACGTACTCGTTTTCTTTTATAGTCATACACTTTCTTTTTTTCTGCTTCTGAACTGTCTTGTTTCCCTTTCTTAACACTCTATGCATGTAGGTCTGTATGATCTGTTTGGATCATGGTACGTCATGACGAAGAAGTCCTGTTAATTAGGAACTTAACCTGGGATAACATTAAAATATCGAATTATTTGTTTCCTTCCCTTGTGATTCTTTGGCTATAGCCATGGACCTACTAATGCTATAGTCCACGTGACAGACAATGTCTGGCTTTGAAACTTTCTCGTGGATTGTCGTTCTACTTGGACTATCCCATTCCATTAACGAAAGCGACGGATGCATGCGATTGGCTCAGTGATGTCCTTGAGGCGACAGCGAATGATAGCTAGCATCACCTTGCGGAACTCTGGCATTGTCCTGGCGTAAATCAGAGGGTTGACGCAACTGTTGATGGTCAACATCAGGCCTGTCCAGGGGACGCCCGGGTCACTAGGAGGAACAACAACGCTCACACCAAACGGGAGCAGGCAGATGATGAATGCTAGCACCACAATAGCAAGTCGTTTCGTAACCGTGACGTTGTACTTGTTCAGGTGTGGTTTTGCCTTGTTATCAGGAAACTTTTTCTTGATGGATCTTGGACGCTTCTGATTAGCTATATATTCTGGAGACCGCCTTGAATGATTCTCAGAAATTTCAAGGGGTGTGTTCTTTGGTAGATTCTCACTGGCTGTCAATGTGCCCTCTCCATTTAATATATCTATTACGGTTGATGGTGATGTGTCAATGTTTGAAGTTGTCTCTTCAGATGTGAGAGTACTCGGTTCAATCGAGGGAACCTCTGATGAGCTAATTTCCACGTTCACATTGTCTATGCCACACGCCTTGGGTGCTCCTTCCTTTTTGAGCTTGTTCATCTTTTTACTTTGTCTGGAAATGAAGAGATAGATCCGAACGTAGATAACAACAATGACAATGAACACAGGGATGATTGCCAATGCCCGGCTGTGAGACTATACAAGTCTGAAGTGGGAAGTGACGTATCCTGCGAGCATGCCTTGTACTCGTAAGAGTATCCCAGTCGGCCCAACCCAGCAAAGTGAGGTACCAGAACCAAAAGAGCTGGATATAGCCAAGCGCTAAGCACCATGAAGCATATGTTTCTAGTAGTGTAGAGTTTCTGGAAGTGTATACTAGACTTTGTCAGCAGGTACCAGCGGTTATAGGCAATGAGGGCCAGCGTCATGACGCTGGCACCCAGACAGACCAGTATCACGGCCGAATTAGCAGCGCAGATCCAACCGGGCAAAGGCCATCCGTCACGGCTTAGCAAGGCGACAACATTAAACGGGAGGGAGAGGCATGTAAGCAGGTCGGAACAGCCCAAGTTGACGACCAACCAGTTGGTGGATGAGCGAAGTTTACGGGAAAGCCCTACGGCGGTGATGACGAGTGTGTTGCCGATGGCTCCCACAATGAAGATGATACAGAGGATAATGGCTATAGCAATTCGCTGGTTGTAATCTTCAAACACAAATAGATCCGTATCGCTACTCCTGTTAGTCATGATGGCCATGGTTGTTGAGATAATAATATTACCTTCCATAATTATTTCGTCGTCGATTCGTCTTCTGCAAAATAGAAATAAAAGTCATAGAGAGAAGTAAATTACATCAGTTTTATAATACCGCTACTGTCTGTTGGATAAGCGGCGTCATTTGACTGACGCCTTAAGACTGCGTCAGTCACTAGTGCGGTCTTTTATGATGCACCATGTGGGGGATGATAACAAGTGATTGTAAAATGAAAAGGGCATCTACTGATTCGAAATACTGGCGTATGCATACATTACATTCAAGGGTCGTAATAACGCAATCGAAATGACGCCTCGTGTGCAAAGCATAGTGCATAACATGTGACACATAAATATAGCTTCTTGTGGATGACAAGGACGTAAATCGTTTCAATTATCGAAAAACAGAGTAGTGCCTACTAGCCTACTGATTTTGACAAGATTCGCGTTCACCTTTATGCATGAATGGGCAACGTCATGAGCATTTAATCAACATTATGACGATGGTCGTCATAACGTTTCCAAATGCCGAAGGTACCATGCCTGATACCACTATACAACTAAATTATCATGACGCGATCTGTATCATGAACACCTCTACATAATACAATCAGAGCGAAAAAAATAACAGAAATAAAGGATGAAATATAAAATTACAAGTTATTGTTTGAATCTTGAGTAGGTCCTTCCTATTATCATGCCCATGTTTCTGATTTAAGTATACTTTGTTTATCAATGCATCATTTTTGTTTCACTTTTAATGAGTCGTTGTATTTATAGCTCATGGGGGACCAATGGTCACCGATTAGGCATTGTTTTCTATATAGAGGGAGCAAGCAGCTATAAGTAGGACAGTGTGGTTTTAATATGAATTAATGAAAATATAAGTCAAATTTGAGATTGACCGACGCTTTCTTCATTGTGTTAATATGCTCTTCACAATCATTTACATGTATTCATGAATTGTATACATTATATTATCTCTTGAGTAAATCTGTTGATAAGGAAGAGGAAATGGAAAAAAAAAAAAATTTAAAGTCGAATTGATGGAATTTAACTGAACTAATTGCCCAGTTTATATATACTTGACAGATAGCGGCCAACATATTCACATTTCCAACAGTAAAAAGACATTCAAGAATCAAATGTAAACATGAAAATATTATATACTTACATGATATGGAGATTAACAGGATGCACGACGATGGTTTCACAGACTAAGTGACTCAAACGACGTATATATGTAGTAATGTAGTAAATAGTTATGAAGTACACTGACTGCTATAAATCAAATTCTATTTACCATTTTCAGATTGTGCTGAAGTGGGAAGTAGAGTTGGAGCAATACAGATCAAGAAATGACGAGAATATACTTTTGTCCACACACGAAAAGGGAAAACCCGTCATGACGAAAGAGGTCAAAATGAAACAAATGATTCATACAACCGATTCGTTCAACCATGGACCTTACCTAGATACGGCTTTTGCGTCAACAAAGAAATTATTCTTTTGTAGCGCGTCCCAATATTTACTGAGCGATGAACACCCTCACACAAATCAATCTTGGGAAATGTTTACTATCAACTCTTGACAAGATCGGGGTATATGCTAAGGGGAGGGATTGGATTGAACAAATTGTTCCGGATAGTAGGAAACTTGGGAAATATTACCACCATTGCATTATATTCTTAGTTGCTTGGTGTATATTTTTCGTTTTAGTTTCTCTTTCGAAAGCACCTTCACACGACCAAATGTACAAATGAAAAGAGTATTTGATGGAGAGCCAAAGGTGCTTTAAACAAATGAGAATGAAATATGTTTACAATGATTATTAAAAAAACAAATGTAATTTCGATGGCTATTGTCAACTCTCTTTTTAATTGCTTCTTGTTGTAAGATATGAAACTGGGTCATGCAAATCTGCATCACGTTTAGGCCTACACTGTACATGTATTATATTTCATCGGAAACGTTCAAATATTTTTGCATTCTAAACAGCCTTTTATATGAAGAGCAAATCGAAAAACGAGAAGTGTACTTCGTTTTATGAAATCTTATAAATCTGCAGGAAAACGGAACTGAATAGTCCTTCCATGAGGTTTAAATCTTATAATTTCAACATGTCTAGCATGTTAAATGAACGATCTGAATAATAAATATCAGTGGCACGTTCAGAAACCGATAAAATCGAGGGTGGGGGATTTCGATCCCTACATATAGGGAGGGGCTGGGAGCTAAGGCCTATACTGGGGCAGCCCTACGTAATTAATTGTTTTGTCCCGGCCTCCAACGGGGCCGTACTTCAGCTACATCCCTTGCTGAATACGCCAAAAATGAATGCTCATATGTGTTTGCTAACTTATATGCAGTAACAGAACGTTGTCTTTTCCACATTGACGTCTCCTAATTGCATGTACTTTATGCACCATTTCCATATTGAGGCCTCCTAACGTGCTTGACTTATAATTCGACCCTATTTAGGCATTGTTCGAATATCGAATCTAAGTTGGTATAAACTGAGCTTTGTTAAAAACAAAGTTTGAATACCGTCCTCTCTGATTGCATCAAAAGTTGTTGGCCCAATAATATTAAATTCCTGTATTTACAAACATAATTTTTCGTTGATTTTTATTTTGTTTTACATCGAAAAATAATTGATTTGATTTGATAAGATTTGAGTTTTATATATAAATCATATACTTTTGTATATATATATATATATAAATATATTTTGTGTGGCAGCTAGATATAAGCATATTGATATAACGAGAGAGAGAGAGAGAGAGAGAGAGAGAGAGAGAAAAGGGGCACGTAATCATTCAAGCAATGCGGAGGCTTTGGAAGAATAGACAGACAGAGGAAGAAAGGAGAAACAGGAGAATTGGGTGATTTTGAAAATAGACAAACAGCGAAAGCAAAAAGGTTGATGTATGAGAGAGAGAGAGAAAGAGAGACTGAAAGAGAAAGGGGGAGGAAGACTGTATATATATATATATATATATATATATCTTCGTTTAAAATACACTTTTTGGACCCTCCGACAGGCTATTTTATTGAAAACCAATCTCTGATTAACATATTTGAATACATGTACAAATGAATATCATATAATACTTCAGAATAAGATATACATACTGAATATCAATAACAATAATAATAATTTATTATTATTATTATTATTATTATTATTATTATAAACGGAGCATAATAATAAAATAAAACATTATTAAAAAAAAAAAAAAATTATGTGTAGCTCATCAATCAGATGTGCCACGCAGTCGAAAGGGTCCTGTTTACATTTGTAAACAACTTGGGTAACGTGTTTACACTTCGCCACAGTAAGTCTATGCTAGTGGCCACAGGTTTTGTTCACATCCCAGTTGTGAAATGAGTATCCACACACTCTACCATTTTATTTGACGTTCATTCATATCGTAAAATTAATCCTACTCTTCTTCCGATTCTATACCTTTTAAAGTGTATTGAAAAAGTACACACTTATGTACTTGCAAAATTAACTCATCAATTCATCATACTGTTTAATAACATATACCGGCGATATATTGTGTGTCTCAATACTGATTTAAAACAGCATTAACACACTCATCCAATTATCCGCATGCATATTCACATCCATCGCCAATTTACAAGCTCACTAAGAGATTTGCTACACTACGCAGCCGATCATCTAGTAACACAGAGTCAATGAGAAATTTGGATGTTCAAGAAAAATCCCACCCTCCATGTATTTAACACTGACAAGTAGAAACCACAATGACAGATTTTCACCTTAAATCGAAATTTCGACCACGATCCCGTCTTCTGATCAAAATTGAATCTTTTCACATGTGTAGAGTAAAGCTGCAGCGCCATCGTAATAGGATTTTTAAATGTTCAAAAAAGGCTGAAACGCGTAGTAAATTGGTTCAATAAATGTTTTGACCAATTATAAAGTTTGACGCACGCATACACGACCGCCATGACGCGCGCACGGACATGGGTGACTTAAAGGTGTGACCTATGACGTCAAGTCTATGCATATCAAATACCATTAAAAAATGACAATGTATGAAGGAATTATGGTAAATAATAGCTATCAACAAAATGGCGCCTAGATGATGTAACGCGTCAGTATTCAGGAAAAATCTCCTCGCTAGGATCAATAATCATGCATTTGGCACATGTCATGAAAATTTCATCGTCATTAACCATCTCATTCATGAGATAAGAAGCAAAATATAGCCATACATAAAGAATAGGGGGAAAAAAGGTAGATTCTGACGAAATCAATAGGACTGGTCCTCTGCTTAAGCTATGATCACATAACCTAAAAGTAGCCTGCTCGGCGGCCAGGCGGCGAGTTTTGAGCCAATTTCGCCCAGGCACCGAGCGGCGGCCGCCCGGCCGCCCGGGCTTGTTTTTAGGGCATCGTTCGGTCGCTGCTGAAGTTTTAGCGCGGAGTTAAATTAACCGGTGGCCGTTGGGAGACTGTTAGGGTATCGGTGGGTCATCGGTCGGTCACTGCTGGGACGCCGCCCGGAGAAGCTCTCCGATTTCGCTCAGTTTTGACCTAAAATTAACCGGCGACCGACGGGAAATCGACAGGGCGCCGCCCAGGCATCGCTGGGGCTCTACAACCTGCTCGACTTCTCCAACAAATCGTTGAGCGATGACTAAATTCCAGCGGCGACCGAGGAGGCTACTAATCGGTCGGTCGCTTTTTATCTATATATTAAAGGGATAATATCTTACCCCCTGGACATCCACCCTCGAATAACCATCCCCAGTCAACTACCCCCTAGGACAACTACTCCCTAGGGTAACCACCCTCTAGGACGACTAACCCCAGGACAACTACCCCCTGGACAACTACCCCAAGACAACTACCCCCTAGGACAACTACCCCCCCCCCGACAACTATCCCGAGAACAACTACCCCCGGACAATTACTCCCCATACAACTACCCCTACGGCAACCATCCTTTAGGACAACTACACCCCGAACAACTATTTTAGGGGGAGTGATCAGGGCAGTGGCGGCTCCCCTGGAACCGCCTGGAAAAAAAAACCCTTTGAAAAAAACATGTAAAAACACGGGGCGATGGCGCTCAAGGGTGGGCAATTTTTTAAATATTGGAGGGAAAAAACAATGGAAAAAATGTGCTCTCTACCTCTCCCCCCCCCCCCCCCCCTGAGCGACTTTTCGGCCGGGGCGATTTTTCAAATTTTCGGGAGCAATACAAAAAAAAGTTGGGCCCCCTCCCCTAAGACATCCTGGATCCGCGCCTGGATCAGGGGGTAGTTGTCCCGTGGATAGTCATCCTAGTGGGTGGTTGTCCTAGGGGGTAGTTATTCTAGAATTCAAGCATTATACTCTGTGATATTTTCTCTGTGACCGACAATGTATGGCTGTGAAACTGTCTCGTGGATTATCGTTCTACTTGGACCATCCCATTCCATTAACGAAAGCGGCGGAGGCATGCGATTGGCTCAGTGATGTCCTTAAGGCGACAGCGAATAATGGCTAGCATCACCTTGCGGAACTCTGGCATTGTCCTGGCGTAAATCAGAGGGTTGACGCAACTGTTGAAGGTCAACATCAGGCCTGTCCAAGGGACGCCCGCATTGCTTGAAGGAACGACAACGCTCACACCAAACGGGAGCAGGCAGATGATGAAGGCTAGCACCACAATAGCAAGTCGTTTCGTAACTATGACATTAAACTTGTTCAGGTGTGGTTCTGCCTTGTTATCAGAAAATTTTTGCTTGATAGATCTTGGACGTTTTTGGTTAGATTGATCTTCTGGAGACCGCCTTGATCGATTTTCAGAAATGTCAAGGGATGTGTGGTGTTTTGGTGAATTCTCAATAGATGCCAAGTTGCCCTCTCCATTTGAGGTATCTGTTTCGGTTGTTTGTGATGTGTCAAGGTTTGAAGTTGAACGGCTTTGTAAGATTGTTTCTTCAGATGTGAGAGTACTCGGTTCAATCGAGGGAACCTCTGATGAGCTCATTTCCACGTTCACATTGTCTATGCCACGCGTCTGGGGTGCTCCATCCTTTTTGACCTTGTTCATCTTTTTACTTTGTCTGGAAACAAAGAGATAGATCCGAACGTAAATAACAACCATGACAATGAACACAGGGATGATTGCAAATGCCCCGGCTGTGAGACTATATAAGTCTGAAGTGGAAAGTGACGTATCCTGCGAGCATGCCTTGTACTCGTAAGAATATCCCAGTCGGCCCAACCCAGCAAAGTGAGGTACCAGGCACAAAAGAGCTGGGTACATCCAAGCGCTAAGCAGCATGAAGCATATGTTTCTAGTTGTGTAGAGTTTCTGGAACTGTATCTTTGACTTTGTCAGCAGGTACCAGCGGTTATAGGCAATAAGGGCCAGTGTCATGATACTGCCACCCAGACTGATCCATGATACAGCCGAGTTGACTGCGCAAATCCAACCTGGCAAAGGCCATCCGTCACGGCTTAGCGTGGCGACAGTATTAAACGGGAGAGAGAGGCATATGAGAAGGTCGGAACAGCCCAAGTTGACGATGAACCAGTTGGTGGATGATCGCAGTTTCCGGGAAAGGACTACGGCGGTGATGACGAGTGTGTTACCGATGGATCCCACAAGGAAGACGATGCAGAATATAGAGGCTATAGCAATGCGCTGGTTGTAATCTTCAAACACAAAGAGATCTGTATCGCTACTCCTGTTACTGATTATGGCCATGGTTGTTGAGATGACAATATTACTTTCCATATTAATCTCGTCTTTCGTCGTCGATTCGTCTTCTGAAAAATAAAAATAAAAATCATATAGAGAGAAGTATTTTACGACAGTATTAAACATCCACGTACGTCTGTTGGATACGTGGCGTCATTAATTTTGACTGACGTATAGGGGTTCATCAGTGACGCGCAATGTGGAGATGATAAAAAGTGATGGTAAAATGAAAAGGGTAACGATTGATTCGAAATACCGGCGTATGCACAAATTGCCTTCAAGGGTCTTAATATAAATATTTAACGCAATCGAAATGACGCCTCGTGTGCAAATCATAGTGCATAACATGTAACACGTAAATGTAGCTTCTTGTGGATGACATTGTTGGCTATTGATGTATCATTTTTGTTTCACTTTAAACGATTCCATTGTATTAAAATGACTGAATGAAAATACCAGCAAACTAGGGATTGATCGACGCCTTCTCCCTTGTCTTAATTTGCTTTTCAAAATCATTTACATGTATTCATGACTTGTATACATTATATTATAAACTTGAGTTCATTTGTTGATAAGAAAGAGGAAATGGAAGAAAAAAAATATTGAAGGAAAACACATCCCAAGAAATAACGTTCATATTCTGATAGATTTAATCATATTATTGCCTATTAATCTACAAGATTTCCCAGCAAAGTATGTGAGAGAGGCATACAGCATGAATAATATGCAGTATCTCAGCACGACATGGGCATCGACATTTTCTTGATATCGTGACGCACTATGTGAAGTCGTTATCCTTTGTACTACTATTTCCAGAACGCAAATTGAATAAGTAAGTTGGCGCTCTTCTAGTTGACAGTTTCTTATAAATGAAATAGATTTGTCAACTGCTATATTTTAGTATGTTTAAATGAATTAGTTACAAGTGTCCCCCTGTTATAATTTTGTTAAACCAAATATAATTTCTATCATGTGAGCACTAATTTTTAATTTATTTTTTGCCCTCGGAAATTTGGAAATCGCGCCGATCGATAACCCCCCCCCCCTCCCTCTCCCCTCCTCCCTTGAGGTAAACAGAGGTAAATTTCTGGTCACAGTTTTTATTTTGTTGGCCAGTGCGGATCAAGGGAGAGCCAAGGCCCGCTCGCCCCCCCCCCCCCTCCCCCTGGATCCGCACCTGTATACAGTACATGGAGATCAAGAGAGAATACCGACACAGCTGACCCAACACACAGCGTATCTGTCTTGCTCCCTCGACGAGACAACTCCACCCAACAATGCCCCCTCTCTCTCTCTCTCTCTCTCTCTCTTACTCCCTCCTCTCTCATGCTCTACCCCCCCGTCTCTCTCCTCCTTCTCACCCCCGTTTCTTTTGTTTTATTTTCTCCTTTTTTTTCTCTCTCTTTCTTTCTTCTTTTCTCTTTCCCTTTCCCCTCCCCCTTTTCTCAGTTACCTCAACGGCAGTACCGACAATATCCTGCTATCCTGACCTAGGGGCGGCACAAATGGGATGTCGCATCCGACCCCCCATTAGTGCCGCCCCTAGGTGCATAACACCTGTTTTACTTTAACTGGTGCGTCACATTTTCTTGAAAATGGCCGCGCCCCTGTCATGCTAAAAAGCATCACATCATGCGAGAATATCTTCATTTATATATCTCTTGTACATTTCCGTAAAGAATATTGTATATCAAAGGGCAGGAGTACATCTCACTTTTCATAATACCTACTCTTATTCTTTGGGGTTAGGTTTCCTTTAAGTTGAATTGAATGGAATCTTATATTGGTGAGTTTATTTACTCTTGACAGATAGCAGCCAACATATCCACATTTCCAACAGAAAAAAAACATTCCAGAATCAAATATAAATATGAAAATAATGTATACTTACATGATATGGAGATTAGCAGGGTGCACTACGATTGTTTTACAGACTCAATGTCCCAAACACCTTATAGTATAATATTATTGATAATGAAGTACACCGACTGCCATAAAACACTTCCTGTATCCTGTTTGCAATTATCAGAATATGACTGTAGGGAAAGAAGCATGGAAGCAAAAGCGATCAAGAAATGGCACGCGAGCGAGAAAGATGGAAATATAATTTTATCCACACATGAGAAGGGAAAACCCGTCATGACAAAAAAGTAATTAAAGGTCAACAACTGATTCATTGAACCGATCGGTTCAATAAATTGTAGTTATTCCTTTGTAACGCGTAACAATTTTGTATGGACTGAGCAATGATTAATACCATCATCAAATTATATCATTGCCCCCGGGCGAGTTATTTGGTTGGTGTGTTATTTGTTTGTTTCGTTTCTTTAGTAGAGTTCCTCTTTAAGAAGCAACTGGAGCGCCAACGAGTCTTTAACAAATGAGAATGAAATATGTTTACAATGATTACGAAAAAAAAATGTAATTTTCGATGCTTATTGTCAACTCTCTTTTTAAGAGCTTCAATCTTGTTGTCAGGTATAAAACTGGGTCATTCATATCAGCATTACGTTTAGGTTTTCAATATACATGTATTATATTTCACTGAAATCGTTCAAATCTATTTGCATTATAAACAGCCTTTGGTATTAAGAACAAATCAAAACCGATAAGAGGACTTCCAGCCTTTTCACACATGGGTAAAATTCTCTGAAGCTGATCAGTGTAAAGGGCTTTAAACAAATCAGTTTTACATACGACATCATTCACACACAGAAATTTCGGTGTTTCGTTTCGTGATTAACTGCTCTTTAAACGCGCAGTAGTGCCACTGCGCATTGACGATCAGGTCATATTAAACAAAACGCGTGCTCCATCCAGTTAAAACACGTATAACCGTTCACACACAAAATGTCAAGCTCTCTAGATACGGACTTTGTATCTGCAGCCTGCTTTGAACGGCGTATGAATCGCGACTTCGTATCTGTCCGAACATCGTATATATAAACGACGTTCACACAGGGAAAATTTTCTTTTAAGCTGTTTAAAACTTTTGAGTTAAACAGCTTTAAACTAATCATCTCTAGATGCGATGAATTTTAGCTGTGTGTGAAAAGGCTGAAAGTCTTATGAAATCTTATGAATCTGCTAAAAAAAGAATTGAATAGTCCTTCCAAAAGGTTTAAATCTTATATTCCAACATGTTTAATATTATCGATCTGAATAATGTATATCGGCGGCACGTCCAGAAACCGATAGAATCGATGGTGGGAAATTTCGATTTCTACATATATATTTGATTTGATATGAATTGAGTTGGTTTTGTTTGAATCATATTACTCTTTTTTGCTAGATATAAGGCCAAATAAAAAAAAAAATGTTTAGCGTCCTGTTTTTTTTAAAATAGGAAGGAGGAGACCCTTTTGTTTCTTTCAAAATAGCTGCTCAAAATGGCCGCCGGTACATTTTCCCTGACAGTTGGGCTATTTTTCAAGACGGCCGCCGATATTAAAACAAAACAAATTTTAATCAGAAATAGATCCATTTAAGCAATGTTTTTCCTGTTTTTTTTCTTTAAACAAAAACAATTCAAAAAAAATTCAAAAAAAAAGAAAAAAGTAGGAGGTGGCCCCCAAAAGGGAAGCGGGCGGGGACGCTACACATGTATATTTTTTAATGGCCTTATCATAGCGATATAAAAAGAGAGAGAAAGAGAAAGAGAGAGGGAGAGAGAAACGGAGACTGAAATAGAAAGGGGGAAGTATATGTAACTTATTAATCAGAGTTTCCACACAGTCACAAATGTCCTGTTCACACTTATAACAAACTTGGGTAATGTGTTTACACTTCGCTACAGTAAGTCTATGTTAGTGGCCACAGGCTTGTCCACATCCTAGTTTTGAAATGGGAACCTACACACATTACCATGTCATGAGGCATCCATACACATCGTAAACATAATCTTACTCTTCTAAAGATTCTATGCCTTTTTAAAGTGTTTTGAAATAGTACACGCTTTATATGTACTTGCAAAATTAACTCATCAATTCATTATACTGTTTAATAACATATACCGGCGATATAATGTGTGTCTCAGTACTAAAGTAGATCAGCATTAACATACTCATCCGATTCTCCGCATGAATATTCACATCCATCGCCTATTTACAAGCTCATTAAGAGATTTGCTACACTACGCGGTCGATCATCTGATAACACAGAGTCAATGAGAAATTCGGATTTTGAGGAAAAAAAATCCCAACCTCCATTTATTTAAAGGTAATATGTCCCATTTGCATGCCCAAAAAATGAAAAGGTTAAATTTCAACGGCATATGACAGATAATACTAATTTAGAACTTCCCTTAAAAAGGCGGGCTTGAAAATGTCTTTAAGTGAGAAAATAACGACTATTAGTTGTCAAATCGACTTAGAAGCTATAGAGCCAATAAGTAATAGTATTGATTTTCAGACCATTGTACCGAATGGTCGTACGTTTTATGCTGCGCAAAGATTCAATCAGTTTAATTTTGGCAATTACAAGAAGTGGGTTATTGATGTAGACAAATGCTCATGTACCCTTTAGCTCATTTTATGTATGTTATTACCAAAGAAGAAAAAAGCCAATCAGTCACTCAATAGTGTCTGACAGTGAAGTCTAGCAAGTAAACGGGTTTCCTTGCATAATTCGAAAATTAGGACACTTCTAACGTTTAAATTTCACAGATAGGACATACATTACATATTCATAATTCCTGCAAAGTCCTACAGAATTTGAGGTTGGCTGCAAAAGGGACATAGCATCTTTAACACTTACAAGTACAAACCATAATCATGACCGATTTTCACCTTAAATCGAAATTTTGACCACGATCCCGTCTTCTGATCAAAAATTGAATCTCATCACATGTGTAGAAGAAAGGCGCAGCTCCATCATAATAGGATTTTTAATGTTCAGAAAGGGATGATACGCGTAGTAAGTTGGTTCAATAAAAATGTTGACCAATTATAAAGTTTGACGAATGCGTACACGACCGCCATGACGCACGCACGGAAATGGTTGTGACT